ACGCGGTAGCACGACATGCATCTCGCCGCCCGCAGCTTGGGCGCAAACACTCTTCCCGGAATTAGTTCTAATCTCAAACGTGCCGGAGTTCTGACAGGTGTGCCGGGAATCCGGGCGACATTTCATCCTCGAGGAGCACGCGGGAAGAGATCATCGATCATCGCGTGGTTTTGCATCGAATCACATCGGAGGGATTAATATTCGCATCTGAGAAACGCGAGGCTCATAAATTTACATAAAATCATAGAATTAATTAATTCAGGAAATATCAAGATGTAAATCTCTGTTTACTGTTAAAATGTAATTATCCAATGTAAGAAATTTTTCGCTTTGAAGACAAGAATGCTCCGCAGGGGATTCTCTTTCTCACACTAATAGATCTAGTAAAATGTGTGTGTGAAAGATGAAAAAATAATTCGTAATTTGGAAAGATAATTTTTTTGCATGTCTGCTTCTTTCTTTTTAATCAAGTTTTTCATTCTGGCTCATCACTTTATAATGTCTTTGTTTAAGCAGGTTTGCTTGTTCATATTTATTCGATCCTACTTTGATGTCTGTCTCGTTATAAGCAGATACTTCTAATAAAATATTGACAGAAAAAAGATTAATAAAAAAGTATTATTATAAATGATTGTCATATACATTGTTGCATATACAATGCGAATGTATTTTCGCAGATAACCTTGTTTGTTCATTAAATAATGATTTATACACCACTGCATAATAAATTGGAAAAATAATTTAACATCTGTCGTGTATCAAACGAACATGCAAATTTGTGCAACTTCTTGTTAAATTATTTGCAGTTGGCGATAAAAATTGCTATTTTCATAATAGCCAGTAATTTGAATTTTACGGTTGTTTAATTATAAAAAGACGTCACAAAAAGAAGTTACGTGCAAAAAAATTATAAAATAGAAGGCTGCATGGAATTTTCCCTTAAAAATAAGAAAAATTGGCTTTATATTTGCTACATAATCTATAAATAAAGACACAGCAGAAAACGACATTTGCAAACCTCATCAGTATGAGTACTTCGACCTATTTAATTAATGATACTATAATTATTAATTATAAATCATAATTATGATAGTAACCTTGTACTGCTTTACAATATCAAGGTAGCTCCCATTAATATAGCTTGAAACGGTTTGCTAAACGGAGACAAGGAAACTAGAAATAAAGTGCACTCGTTACACGTGCTCTGACTCGAAGAATATCTGCGAAATCAGGATCGCCGTCGAAAAACCGGGTGGTCGGTTCCTCCGACACTTACACGTATCCCTTTTCGCGACCTCTAGCCCTTTTTTTTCACTCGTGTTTTGATACGGCGACGCGATACGCTTGCATGTATCATCGTTACACGCGATCCCGCATTCTCTTTCTCGCCCGTGCCGCGAGGAAATCCTTAATGCGACGCTCAAAGGGAAGCAGTAAATTACAAAGTAACGAGGCCCGACAAAGGAAGACTCCTTAAGCGCCATTACGGGGTGTACCTCGTTTAACGCCTGGCGAGAAAAACAGTGCGCGAAGGTGCAACTAAATTATTCCCCATTCTATTTATAAGGAAATCTTGGGAAGGATATTTATAGCGATCGCGCGCGCGCTAGCGGTTCATATTTTATATCCCGTGGCTAAACGGAGCCGAGTCCTTATTTTAAGACATAGCGGCGCGTTTCCTTACTGAACCACCGCCGATATGGCCGCGTTACGTAACCGCGTTTCAATTTGAATGCTTATCGCGGCGATGCAACGGCAATAAAACACGTCGCGTCAATCATCGGGATAATAACGGGCAATTATGTAGCAATTAAATCTTTTGCCCGCACCGCCGTAAGCTAACCACGTTGCAATTCGTCGGCTACATTGTCTGCAGGTAATACACCACAACTGATTTTAATTACAAATTTTAATCGCACTTCTTGCGCCGCGCGCAACAACGTCTCTACTTCGTCGAGGAAACGTGACGCGTTGTTTCGGACTTTTTACAACGGACGCATCTACAGAAATAAATATGACGACGGTCTAGTAATTATCTCGTAACGATTATGGTCGATCAACACCTTGAGCAAACCCGGATAATTGCAAATATGCTAATGTTATATATTCGCACTTCTTTGTTCGTATATCCGACATTAACGCAACGTTTAAATCACAACGCATAAATTTATCGCAACTCATCTCTGATTCATTAATTATTACACTATTTTTCTACTGCGTGGCGTGCAATTATTGCAATTATTTATTGCAATTGCAATCTATTTTTACAAGCTAGATTCGGGAAATGTGTCTCTTGTATTTCAATCCTTTTTATAAATGACTACTGTAAAGCATACAAGTGGATTAATTATATTTATAATAATTATGATATAAACTGTAACTATAATAAAAAAAATATCAAAAAAATGTTACACAAACTCTGTCACACTTAAATTTCTGTAATATTTCCTAAATTCCTGTATAAGATCAAGTAGTTGTTACAACGAGCGTCCGACGTGTGAACGTGTGTAACAGAGACAAGAAAAATACCATTTTTCACGTTGAAATAAAACTAGCAAAAGATCGATCTTCCAGCACGACCGGCACGCGCAGTCACCGTGTGATTATCCATCGTAAGTGTCTCCTTACCGCGTCTTCGAACCTAATCTACACGGACGCTTCGCAGAAGTCCATCGCGGAATATCGCGGCGATCAGCCCGTTTACTGTCGCCTACGACAGATCGTGTCGAGGCCCCCGCGCTCTGCCCGCTCGGGCTATCGGGATCCCGCCTAACGCGGCCTAACAATGAAATCTCGAGAAAAACGATCCTTGTCGGGGGAGGTACGCGGAGAAGGGAACGAGCTCCGATGGGTTTCTTCGCGCGGCGCTTAACGACGATTTCGATCGTTTACGACTTTAATAATTTAGGCGCGGCTCTGCTCGCGAGGCTCGACACGTTTTCGGTCGTAAACCGCGCGACTAAATCCGTATTTATGGGGAAGAGGAGGCAGCAGTCCGGCTCGGCCGCGGCCGAGTCTCCTTCCTACCTCTCCGCCTTCTTCTTCGTCCGCCTCTCGTACCTCTACGCTCTCATCGTGGCGCAGAACGAAGGGGAACCACCGACTGGCGAACCGATCGAAAAGGTCCGAAAAGACTCGGCGCTGCATGCCAGACCCTCTCGTGCCTTCAACGACTGATCGATTCGGGGGCTTGTCGCACGAAAAAACACCTCTGGTTTACATTTTTGCGCGCGTATACACTCGCGAGGGCGCGCTTAGGGCGCCCATTTACATTCATTAATCAGCGCGCGGTTCATTAATCAAATTCCGCGAACACAAGTTGCGCAACGCGTCAATCGCCAGCCTCGTTCGGCGTCGATACTCAAGCGCGAGGGTTACGATCGGTCGTTCAATTAACTCATTGCTCGGTGCGATCTGCATTTAATCGCGATCGGTATCGGGCCGGCCGCGGCGCGCCGCACACGCGATCGATTGATATTAGCGGCAGCTAGTCGTTATAATATCGTAAAGCGGAGTGCGAGTGGGTCGACACGCAAAACGAATACGTCAGATTGCCTGATCGCTAATTACTTCTCAATCTGGTACTACTTTCTCCATGAACGCCGAGGCGAACGCGAATAGTGATGCAGTTTCAGTTTTAGAACCGCGAATGCAGATGCGGACTTAATAGCGCGAGAAGGAAAAAAAGGTAAGCGTGAACGAGTCCACCGGTAATCGTACGGTCGGAATTTTATGATCTCGCCGAAGTTTACGAGAGCCAGAGGGTCATAAATTCGTCAATTTAAATTCATTGAGCGGATTATAGATACATAGTTCAGAGCGACTTTAATATTTGCATAATTAACAGGAAATTTAAATCGGGGCACCGGTAATTTACGAAGACTCGAAGACGATATGACTGTCTTACGCTACATAATAATTATATGTGTTTGTTTGAAACTGGTGACATGGGATAGTTTCAAATAAATGCGCATGTTGCTTTGTAACGTCAAGTTTTTTGAGATTAGTGCAAAACATTTTGCATTTGACCACGTGTCGGATTACCCTTGTGTCAATATGCAAAATAGACTCGTTATCTAAGAATAACGAGTCATCTCGGAAAAATATACTTATTTAATTATCAAGATCGAGAGTTCTACAGTTAAGTATACAAAGTATACAAATATACCTTTTTAATTGTAAAGAATATGTAATTGTGTATTATATTTACGGTGAAGTAAAATCTTCTCGTAAGAACGGATAAACTAATTTGCAATCAAAATGATAAAACATAATTTTTAACCCAGGAGTCACCTAGAGTGATTTTTACATCCCAGCAGTAAGAAAATACAGCTCAGTCATAATATCGTTTTTACTGATCTCTACCTATTTTTTTATTTCTCCTTACTTTTTTTAAAAAATATCAAGTATATATAATAATATTAAATATTAATAAATCATAGAACACAATCAATAATATACAATATATATGTAATTAATAACAGGAATTTTCATTAGAAGGTAAAAAACACAGATGATTGTTTACGTAAGTCTGTTTCTTCTGATTTAAAACGTTCGTAACGCGATCACAATATAAATATAATTTATGCGATTTTAGATTGCAGTGTTTTTAATCAACTGTAATTAAATCTTTCATCGAGAGCGCGAGATCCGTTCCGCTCGATGGCGTATACGCTGCCAAAGATAGAACCGGTTCTCCTAGAGGAGCAAAGGATGCAAAACCGATAAAACGCCCGTAGTGCGGAATCTGAAGGCGCGGTCGTTAACGTTCGCGCGGGCGGCGAGTTGTTAAACATTTCGGTGACGCATCGCGTAGTCGTATCTGGAGTTACGAGTACGGGCTGCGTGTATAATTAGCCGGACCCCCGAGAGAAAAGTGAGAAGGGGACGCGAACCGAGAAGGACCCCCTGCGTTCGCGCCTGACACATTTTACGCGATGTCGCGTGATTCTGTCGACGCGAAGCGCGATCTCTATATTCACATCGCTTTTATAACTTACCGAGGACGCCGATAGTATAACTCATCTACACTTCTTCGGTCCTCCTTACGCCCTGCAATAAAAAAAAGATGGGTGAAATTAGTTTAATGAAGAAATATCAATGAGTACATATACAGTGACTAATACGTTCATCAGCATTAATCATACCTCAACATTATACATATCAATGTTTATCAATACGCAATTCAATATGATAATTATCGCATTTGGCTAATGATGTTGTACCTTGAACATTGGTTTATTATTTCTTGTTGTTATCTTCATTATTTCTTGTTATTTTTATCTATATTTCTTATTATTGTCTTTATTATTCAAGGTCTTAAATCTAACTTTAAATGCGCAGCTTTGCATATGCAGCGACTTTCGATGCTTTGTGTATTCTTCCTTATGAAGATTGAACTGAAAACACGCGGCTCTGCACATCTGTAAAGGGCTTTCTCTGACCCTTCTGACCCTTTTTCCCTTCTGAATGGGAAGGAAGACCCTTCTGCCTCCCCCCTCCCCAGGAGGGTTCAAATTAGTAAAGAATTTTTTAAATATTTTTTTAGGTTTCCTGGAAGTCATTATTTATTTTAAAAATCATCACAATACCGCGAAAAGTTGCGCATTTAAGAATAGATAAAATTGCAAGAAAAAGAAATATAGATTCGATAAATTTTCATTAAAACCTATTTCAATATGTGTATGCATTTGTATGTGTATGCTTGTGTGTCCTAAATCCTAAAATGTCTAATTATGAAACAATAATTAATCAAACCGACAATGGGCGCTTTGCGTTGCGCAAAGGCGTCGCGTTTGAAGTATCCACAATGCGCATCGCGAGACAATACACGCGAAGCGAGCCCCGTTTCTAATCGTCCTCTTATATGCACGCAGGAAGAAAAATGCGCTGAGTCTCTTTAGCGGTTCTTTAAACACCCGAAGATACAACAATGAGCAGCAGAAACAATGGGCCCGTCTTAATCAGCATAATTTCCGTCTCCCGAAAGCGTTAAGAAGAGGAGAATATCGTTGCCGGTGCTGCAAGAGGAAGAGACAGTACACGCACGAAGCGCAAGCGCGGAAGGGAGAGAGGAAGCGTGACGTGCTTTCGGCGCAATTAAAGCGACATTAATTAATTGTTAGCATAACAATACGGCCGGGTCAGCCGTGGGGATGTGCGCGCGAATGGCGGCCGGCCGTAAGGCCCCCAAGCCTTCATAAATTTACATGTCCTTCGCCGCGAGAATCATTTTTTACAGCTGTTAAGAGAACGCATGGAGAAAAAGGAGAGAAAGAGAGGGAGAAAGAGCAGAGTTTGCGGACCTACAGCAACGCAACGGCCATGTCACGGGTCCCTATGGTGTTGTCCATAATAACCATCGATGTCTCTCCCCGAGCGCGGAAGGTGCCCCCGAGGTCCGACCTCGTTATCCGCCGCGCGTCTCGATCGAGATATTTTTTAAGCTTTACGGCCCAGACCGTAATTCTCGCTCCTTTAGGACAGAATCGTGAACCTCCCTTTCCATAATGCAGGTGCCCACGTGCGCGCTCGAGCCCCCCGGGATTTGTTTACCGAGTCGAGGTTTAAAGTCGTAGTTGTGTGAAAATCCAGATGTGTGTGCAACTTATTTACTCTCCACGCAATTTTTTTTAATAAATAAATTAAGCGTGAGAAACAACGTGTAGATTTCATAAATGGTGTCTCAGCAACGCGGAAACTTTAGTCGCGAATTCATCCGGTTGATCATTTATGAATGGAATTAATTTTCTCCTAGAATACTACGCCGATCATGCTATTAAAACTCTTTAGAATGTAATATATAGTTTTGTCCATCGTACTCCATTTGCATAATTTTTTATAATAAATTAATTACAATATGTATACAATTTTTTGCATAAAGCGTTATTATTTTACGATTATGTTATAGAATAACAGATCTCTGATCTGACTAATAATTTAAAAAGTAATTAATGTCGCTACTATATTGACAATAAGAGGAACGTATGGCATAGAGCCAGAAAAAGTAGAAAAATGACACGCACACACCTTATGCAAAAACATTCTCAACGTAATTTGTAAGCTAGGAGCTCTCAGTCTTAATTTTAGATGACGAAGAAATGTGATCTATTTTTCATGTAATAAATGCGAATTTGCTCGGCTGCCAGTTGTTTCGGTTACCGAGGCGAGCGGCTATTTCCGACGATACGATACGCTTTTGAAATCCGAAAAAAAAGCTTTGTATAACGACGTTCGAGTATCGGCCTCGTTATTTCTTGCTCTGTTAAAAGAGATATGCGATCGTAACGTGAGATGGGTCGTGGGTGGTTTAGCGCGCGAGTGCCTTTAGACAGTTATTTTTAATGTCCTCTATAGCGCCCGAGAAGAGAAATGCATCATAGCCGCTATAGATGCTAACGAGACAAATTGCATGAATTTTTTTATTTGTAAAACCGCAGCAATCCGCATTATCGGTTTTGTAAAAGAGATCAATAGAGTATAGTTCTTCGAGTCATAAGACACGAGTGACATATATCTCTTTATATACTTGATCCTTCGAACAATTTTGTATCAGCATCATGTAGGTGTCCTGGCATGAATCCATTAACAGGTCTAAAAACACGATTTTGGGACACAAATGTAATTATAGCTTTACAGCCGTTGTAAAAGTCAGGTATGGCACCTAACAAATGCTACCGAGAGCTCTCTGGAGTTGTCATGTCTGCTATTTTTGCGAGTGATATAATGAACGAATTATTGGCCGTCCCAAATTGTATCTACGTGACTACGTAGAATAAACTTAGCAAAAATTTATGGCCCCTAAGGTACGGCGATCAATGTTTGTCGGATTTAATGCGTTCTATGTACACGAGAAAGAATGAGTTTCTTAATTAGCGTCACCGTAATACTTGCTAATGCGAACCTGGCGCCTTTCGAACTTTGTGACTTTTAATGCCTGAATACCGACGAGATATTATCCTTCACAGTAATACGTTCGACAAAATTAATTTCCTACATTTACGGATGATATCACCGGATAATGTATGCATCCACCAAACATCATTAATCGTGTTTTCTTATGAGCGATAATTTACGTCGCACAGAAAAATCGTTGTTATTAACGATCTGGAATAACCGACATAACCGTCGCACGATTAGCGGACAGATGCCTCATTACGGCTGTCGCCAATAAAGTAACGTGGATGCCCCGCGTCTTTAGGAAAAAGTCGTGGCAGCGGCCAGTCTAGTAGCGACGCCTTTATCGTCGTCTTTACGATACCCCTTTCGCATGTTTCGTGCACCCTCTACGCTATTAGACGCCTCTCAAAAATCTTCATTCGGCAATTTCGATCTTGCCTCTCTCTTTCTGTCTCTAGAGCTCTTTCTTCCTGGGGTGTATTTTATTCGCGATGTCCTGCATTAGCGTCGCACACACGTGCGTGTGCATATCGGATGGAAACACAGTGACGAGCGCGTGGGCGAAACGAGCAACCGAACCGCACAAAGTGGACGCATCTCGCCTCGCCTCGAATTAATAAACAGCAACGAATGACCGCCTACATCCGCCCCTTTCTCCGACCGTTCCGCTGATTTCAGCGTGCTGGTAGTCGATCCGTTGGTAAAGGACAGCTTCCTGCCCCTTTCCTCGACGGGAGATTTCACTCCCCCCGCGCCCACCCTCGAATCCACGAGCGATCGGTGGACCGCCCGCGGCGATCCCCGCCGGAGGCTCCTGAATCCCTCGCGAATCAACAGGACGATGATCGTTACCAATCTCTTGCCCCGGTGATGGTCCTTCGATTTTGGCAAAACGTCGTAAACCCGCGACGGGTCGTGGCAGGAAACGCGGGAACATTTCTTTCCCGCGCGCGGTATAAAAAAACTGCGAGTCGAGAGTGGGTTTTATTGAGTCGCAAACGATTTTTTGGAAAGTGGAACGAACTCTGTATGCCTGCCCAGAGTTTCGCGAGTTTCCTTTAAAATCGCGTATGAGGAGTAATTCTCTTTCACTGACTTCGGAACGGCTTGTCACATAATAAAGTAGAAATCGTCGACTTTTTTGAATACGTTGTATTGATAAAAAGAAGAAAACTTGTATTTTTTGTCAATAAAAAAGAACCGTATTTTTTTAATGTATAACAATACAAAATATTATTCTAGATTAATGTAAATGCAATGCCAACGCATATGTTATTTATCAAATTTAATATCGTGACCCTTGACATATTAAAAATACTGACTCACTGTGAAACTAAATTTAAAGAAAAAAGCAACAATACTACTATGGTGAAATACGAAAGGTTTTAGCACTAAGTGAATAGCGATTGAACTTTCCATTTATAGAACAAATTCTCTTTCGATCATCGAAAGCTACGATGACGATATCGACCCAGATCGATCTCGTTTTCCGTGAAACTCTGATCGCGTCGGCTAGTGTACCATCGTTCTCTATTAGTCGACGTGCATTTCATCGAAATTCCATCCGTCGAAGGGCTATCGCCTCGAGGCATTTCCCTTTGTGGGACACGACGTGGGCGCGCGCGCGCGTGGCGTTGAATAATTAACTTCGATCAGCGCCGTCGTCGGTTTTATCGTAATTATCGCGCGACTCGTTCACGTCAGGCAGCGGCGCCGCGACCGATCGTAGATCGTGAAGAAGATGATCGACGAACGCGATCGAGAGAACGAAACGACGGAGGAATGGAAAGCGAAGTGGGTAAGCTTTACATTCCTGCTGCGTTTGCTGTAAAGATCTAACGTGAGTATCGTGACAGATTTAGAAATGTCAAATTGTGCACAATAATGTATACAAGTTGTGAGAATATGTATTACAACGTTCGTTTAAATCTCATTAATTTTTTGTGAAGTTTAAAATAGAATTATATAAGCCTGCATCGGTATCTTCGATACGTTAAAGTAATTAATAGAGAAATAATTAGCTAGAGAGACAGAGAGAGCTCTGTTAGCTCAAGATAAATCTACGAGTTGTTTGTAGAAGTGATTACGACATTAAGGGGAGAATCTTGTTTTCCAAAGGTCAAGCGCTAAATCGTAAGTCAACACTCGGTTTG